ACACACACACACACACACACACACACACACACACACACACACACACACACACACACACACACACAAGATGAGACACAGCCTGAAAATAATTTAGTTAAATTATGTGAGAACTTGTGGCTTAAAATTGCAACAGTGGTTAAGATTTATTGGTGGAAAAAAAAAACAGCTTTTACTAACTTTAGACTCTGCTTAAAAAAACAAAACAAGTCAATTGTTAAAATAACAGAACTTGATTCAAACATAATGAGTGGATGAACACTTTTTTTACTTATTATCCATCCCATAGATAAAGCAAACGAAACTGTCYCCTGCCCGTTGTAGGTCAGGTATCAGTTTCACCCAAAAGGTCAGTAGAATTAGATTCTTACACTTATTATTGCTTTGAACTAACACCTCCTCTGTGATGCTCAAAGTAAGAATAGACTTTCAAATTTATTGTTTGACCCAGAAGATTAACCAGTGTTGCAGAACTTTATTTTTACGTTGCACTTTTCAATCTTAGTTGCTGTACAGAAAAGGTTTGTCAAAATAATATGATTAGAAAACTATATTTAGGAGGCAAAACAATTGTTTAGCTCTAAAGACTCCATTTCACTCCAAGCCTGTCTGTGGCTTCAGAGATCTAAAAACAAAAGGGCTACGAATCATGTGTCCTTGTTTATAGACTGTGTCTCAGTTCAGGGGCTACATCCTTCAAAGTCACATTTGTCGGCCACACTGCCCCGCGCCGAAGGCTRTCCTAATTCGTGGGCTCCTTCTCCTGCGGCCAACAAATGCAGCCCACAAAATCCCAAAAATGAAGGCCGCATCTTGGTATCCTTATGTTCTACAGTCCAGAAATGGAAAATATTATACGTTTACACTACTGAAGTGAGGCTCATGTTAAAAAACAGACTTGTAGATTCTCTTACAGTTTAAAGTAAATGATTACAATAGATCACAAAGTATAAAGTAAGTGTATCTGAAATTCAATTAATCAATCAAATAAAATTTAACAAGGACCTCTTTTATGTTTCTTGTGGTTTTCCTGCACTATTTGAGATGAACTCTTRAATTCCCGTATTGAAAAAGGTTTTATCTTTTGGTAGTATATGTGGAGGTGATAACAGGAAACATCTTAAAATTAATGAAGTTCAACATTCTGTTGAAAGAAAACCAATTCTTGAGATATTGGGATGTTCAGAACTTGTTGGGAAATATATATATATATACACAAAATCTTTTTTTACAGCTTGGCTGTATGTGAAAGTACATTTTGAACCATCACAACTGTCTGGCAACAATAAAAGCATCTTTCTTAAAGAAAAATAAAAAGAACTGTCAGTTTAAGTATGAATAAGCACTAAAAAATACATWTCTTTTTGACTCTGGACACAAAGAGCAACTGGGCCACTGACAATAACAAAAGTCTTTTGATGGGCTGTTGTCGAGAAGGGGCTGGTAAAACCAATAGAAAGCAAGGACASCAAGTTACTGTATTGATTCAGCTGTGGAACCTTCATATAGGGTAGAATTAAACATGAATCTTTAATAAAGAGTTAACACTTACAGATCAGAGGAGAGAGAGAAAAATTGATGGAGGGAAAAATAATTAGTTGCTGAAGAAGAGAGTATATTCTTGTGTTTGTATTTCTTGTGCTCTGACAAAAGCCCCATGACAAACTGATTAAGTGCATGATCAGAAATTGACAAATGTGCGTATTATTGAAATGAMTGCATCTGCAGTTACATGGCGCATAGGATAGAAGTGCATTAGGACAGACCAAAGCAATATTTCACAGGAGAAGAAAATCTAAGCACTAAAGTGCACCGCGTTTCCCTCATGCCAACCTGTTCTTAATCTGCTGCAGTCCAAAGCTCCACGGGAAATGACTGACAGTATTAAAAATTGTCTTGTTTCTCTGAGGAGCCCCATGGATCATACATCAACATTGACTAAACATCCACCAAAGTGTTCACTCTGCAGCTTTTCTTAAGACTCTTCCCTGCATCCCCTCACAAGCCCAGCAGCTGAACAACCTCCGCCTGCCACACAGGCAACAAAGGAACAAGAGGAATGCTTCTGCTCTTTTTGCCTCGTCTTTTATTTCAAGCAAAAGAAGCAGACRGATACGTGGAAGGTGTGAAAAGGAAGACGAGATTACAGTGAGAGTGTCTTTGAAGGAGTGCATTTGTGAAATAAATCTCATCTTTAGATAATAAAAAGAAGTGAAAAGAGAAATTTCCGTTGCTCATACATAGTAATAGTTGCAAATGTTCTCATACTGTACCTGCAGCGTAGCACTTTTCTGGGAAAAAATGTGGTCCGACAAGCACCTGGGTCCCTGATCTCCCCTTCCTTCTCTTTTTAATTGTGTTTATGAAGTGTGTGTGTGAAGATAAATACATTTCTGTAGTACCATCTGAGCACCCCAGAGTCCAAGTCTGTAAGCTTTTTGTGCAGATTCATTAGCAGTACCCAGCAGGCGTCAGAACATCCAGCTAAGACCACACACTCACAAACATAAATGCTGACTGGGTGATGAGTTGAAGGTGTGTGTGTATTTGTGTGTGTTGAGGTGGGGTATGCTGGGATGTATTAAACAACCAAACAGCCAGTCATAAAATAACCAGAGAGGTGGTTGAACGTGGTGCATATGCAAGCAAATGGAAGCTCTCATGGAAATGCAAGGCCAAGGAAGGTTGAAACATAAAAATGCAAATGGTGTGTGTGTGTGTGTGTGTGTGTGTGTGTGTGTGTGGATGTGAGAGCTGGAGTTGGACACCTGAGAGCCATCAAACTGGTGGAGACACCAAAGCAGAGCAGGAGAAGGTGAAGAGAGAGACTGAATGTGAGAGAAGCTATATGGCCTGCAAGAGTGGGATCCCAATAAAACTGAAACATCCTGTTACAACCTCTTCACTTTTTTTTCTTTGTTGTCTTTTTGTTCTATCAAACAGACTTATGAAGCTGGACGTGTGTCTCAATAGTACTGATGCATTGCAACAGTCCAGTCTGAGGGGTTAAACTCAGCTGGTAGAGTTTTAACTTTTGTTTGTGAACAGAATTTCTTTTTCTAGAAATTCAGATAAGGCTTTCTGTAAAAAAAAAAAAAGGGGGGGGGGGCACTGTACTTTTAAAAAAAGTAAAAAAAATAGTAAAACTAAGACATGGAGTTTGTGAAATCATATATTTGAAATTTACAAGGCAAAATTGTTCGAAGGTTTGACCACCTGTAGCTATTTAATTGTCTGCCCCCACAAACCCCATAGAGTACCTTTTGATTCATTTCTGTTGACCACTTGTTTATTTTACAAGTACACACTCTTTTACTTAATGCAGCACAATCTGCCTGCAGCAAGAACTAGTTTATATACCTGAAGCATCAAAAGGGCACCTGTGAGACGACTACAGTCTCAGCAGCACTTCAAAATTCTCCGTCTTAAGTTTAAGAAGTTTTTTTTTAAAGTTTTTAGTTATATTATGCACCAAGGATAAAATCATCACAGGTTTTTTTTTTATTTTTGTGTAAAAAAAATCAATACATGTAACTATGTTCTTGCTCAATTTTATTTATTTATTTTTTTACAAAGTAATTCACTTTTTCTCTGTCATTCTCCTCCTGTGTTCATTTTCATGTGTGTTACATTTTGAAACAGGGCTGCAAACTACACAAAACAGCATAACAGTCTTATAAGCAATTCAAACTGTCTAGATTGTTAGGATCCTTGTGTTTTTTTTAATTATTATTATTAGTTTTTTTTATTTGTGTTTTAGTTTTATTAGTTCCTTTTCTGGTTTCTTATTTTTTCTTCAAGCTTCTTGCATTTTCCATGTATCTAGGCCACTTTGGTTTCTTTACATTGCAAAAACTGTCCATCATACCAAGTTTTAAAATCTTATATCCAGCCAAAAAGTCTTTTTGATCTTGTTTTGAGACTGATTTACTAAGCAAGAAATGATTGTGTAAGAATAATAATCTTGTTTTCAGAATGTGTAAGAKTATTTGTCTTGTTAGTCTTAAAATTTGACTCAAATTAAGTCAAAATATCTGCCAATGGAATAAGAAAAATTTACTTGGTAAGATTCTTGAAATACTTGATTTGACAGTTTTTTCTTATTTCAAGAATCTTACCAAGTAAAATTTTCTTACTCCATTGGCAGATATTTTGACTTAATTTGAGTCAAATTTTCAGACTAACAAGACAAATAATCTTACACATTCKGAAAACAAGATTATTATTCTTACACAATCAGTTCTTGTTTAGTAAATCAGTCTCAAAACAAGATCAAAAATACTTTTTGGCTGGATATAAGGTTTTAAAACTTGGTAAGATGGACAGTTTTTGCAGTGTATTAAAGCATTTTACAGTTATTTGCAGAGTCCTCGCGTGTCTACGCTCTGAATCCTACCAACTAAAACCAACCAATCTCACACTGAGAACAAGGGCCAGTCCATGAATGATTTTCCTCTTGCAGGCCATTGCTAACTCTTAGCATTCTCACAAATAAGAGAAAAGGTGAGTGTGCGTTACCTCTTGGTCCTGGAGCGAAGCTGGGTGACGGGAGGATTGAGGTRGTAGGACGGGAGGTGATTGGATGGGTGGTGGGAGGGGCCATGGTAGTGACTGACACATTTTCTACAGACAGACAGAGGATGGGATGGCACACACATACACAAATTCTATTATCTACAGCATGCAGGAACAGTCAAACACACGCGTTGCAGGGTTTTACAGTAAAGTTAACGCAGCATATAAAACATGACATGTGCTTTACCACCAGTGTGTATTAATTGAGTTAATGGATGCTCTTCTGTCAATGGAATGGAGTCTGAAAGGCAATTCTGGTGAGTTTTGAAAGGGAGCCAAAGAAAAGCAAAATGCACAAGCTGGATAAAAAAACACGTGTCTTACATATTTATTATGTCACTCTAGTAGCTTTTACACATTGTACCAATTATMAGCTGCATCTTCACATGAAATTGCTTTTGAACCTGCAGATGTTTGATGCTGTATGAGATGGCTTGGTTAACGTTTACAACAGAAAGACATGCCGTAAAACAGGGGCTGATGACGAGCCTCAACCTGGCAAAGTGACATTCATCTTCAAGACAATTGGAATAAACTCTTGATCACTGAGGCATTTCCTGCGGTGCAGCGGCAGCAGGGAAAGTCTGTGACAGATGCATTCTCAGAGGAGCCGTGCCACGCAGGGAAGTGTCTCATTCAATGCTGAACAACGGCTCGGATCTTGACACATTCTCCAAATCAATGGCAAAAAACACAATGGTGAGCGGAGAGGTAGGAAGAGACAAGTTCATATTGCTGTTAAACGAAAAATAACGGCTGACAAGAACTAAGAGGGAAACCGACGTGTGGGTGAGAATGGGTGTGTGTGTTTGTGCACACAGCACCTTCAGACAAAAAAATCCCCACAACTTTATCGAACAATCTAAAGAAAAACATCACACTTTCAAAATCTGCAGCACTCAAACAAGATGCTTCATCATGCAACCAAATGGAGTCATGTGCATACTTAAGCACAGTATCAGAGCACACACACTTATTAAACAAAATGCATAATCCCCTCCAAACACACACACACACACACACACACACACACACACACACACACACACACACACACACACACACACACACACACACACACACACACACACACACACACACACACACACACACACACACACACACACACACACACTGCCCTTTCAGCTCAGAAGTAATTTATTGGTAAGTATTCCTCTGTCTCTTCTCCCTATTTCTCCCACTGGCCCTGAGATCATCAATCTCTTTTTGCACTCTTCTTATGTCAGCACTATGCTCCCCCCACCACGCTCTTTCTTTTTTTCCCCCTTCTTCAAGGCCAGCATCGGTCTTCTTCTCTTCTCTGAAGGAAATGCRCGTGGTGCATTTTGTATAAAAGACAAAGAGTGCAGACAAACTAAAAGAGAAGGACCAAATAGACTCAATTAGAAATTGCTGCAGAATTTACCAAACTGCGTGATTGCTTTATACGGCGAAACATTAAGTGCTTCATGTTTGTGCATCTGAGCCTTCGGGCTATAGCTTGAAACAGTTGGGGTTGATGCTCTAACTACCAGCAAATAAATAAATAAATAAATAAAAAGAAAAAAATGAATGCCTTACCTGAAACATATTTTCTCAAAAACTTTGTTCAAGCTTGTCTTTATAATTTCGTCCTCATCAACAATAATCTATTCCCTCTGGCATTTGCACCCATGCCTTCACTACTCTTCGTCTGGATGCCTCAGCTGCTGCTCGCTAGTTTCATTCCTCTTTTCACAATGTTCCCTCGGTGCTTCTCTTCAGCTTAATTAAAGAGAATACCATACAGCTGTCGTTCTTTGGGCGATAGTGCCCCCCCTCCCCCCAAAATCACATTGTTATTCATTAACACTATATGCCTGCCAATCAGCCACACGGCGCACGTTATTTCGAGGGACGGATGATAATGATGTTACCGCTTGTATCTCATTCTTGCAGTGGAGCGCCTGAGGATCCCGCATCACCATTTTGGATTCTTTCATGTTCAGCTTTCATTATTATAAGGGGTCTTGCCCAAAGCACTGCTGGTCTATTCAGTTGCCTATCAGAGCGCTGAGTGTTAGATAGCGGAAGAAGGTTCTATTGTTGAGGGCATGAAGGTTTGGCTGAAGGGTTATTCAGAATTTACCCAGACATCAGGTGTGTTGTCATGTGTGGAGCAAAACAGGACTAAAGACAAAATTGACTCAGAGTTATCTCAGCCTGGCTCTTTCTSTCACGAGCCTCCAACCATTTTTTTTACTCTCTCTTCTCATTCTGTGCTCTTTTAAAAGTCTCACTTCATTAAACCGAGGTCTGTGTTTTCCATTCCAATCATTTTGACAGCTCATTACAAGAGTCAAGAAGACACGGACTAATCCCTGGTCACCTAATATCCCTCCCTGTCTCACCACCTATCCTTTCATCTTCCTGTCATTTCACTTTGTTTCCAAAGAATCCAAACAGAATTAATGGTCCCCCTCTTTTTCTTTCTTCTGTTCACTTTTTTTCCTAATGTTTTGCAGAAATATGCACACAAACACCCACATTCTTGCTGTACTACGCCAAAACATTATTATATATTTTTTTATTTCTGTTGAAGCCACCCTCTCTCTTCTCGTCTTTCTCTCTCCGTCTCCAACACTCCGCGATCCAATCCTAATTGGTTTTATTGGCTTGGTGATTCATCTGTGCGCAGCAGCTCAGTTCAGCTACAGAAGGAAGCCCTGTGAGCTTTCACCAGACAATCAGCAACATTCAGGTCACATGCGCATGCACCTCTGCGTATCCAGATGAAAAATTCAATTTCTCCTTGACAATTGTAGCGACAAACAAAAGCCACATCCTCCTCTGCAGATCACCKATCAGCATTTCTATCTGCGCTCTGATTCATTCAAAACATTTCCTCACTAGAACTTTATTAGTGGCTTTTTTTAAAAGTTGTGAAAAAGTTAATTTGATGGTGAATGATTTGTACACCTATTTACATACCGAGTATCGACACCTAAAGAATAAATTCACTAAGACACTAACAAACAGTTAATACCACGTGTGAGCTCCACCTATCCTGTCCACTGTTAGCATCTSTGACAACACAGAGTAAAAATGACGTCTAAACTCAGACAAAGCAACTATTTGATGAAATATATGTTTACTGCAAACTAAGATGAAACTTGTCTCTACGGATATTAGCTAACCATCTTCTCAACAGGTCATGTTTGTCTTATAGAAACCTAAAAATAGTCAAATTTATAATCAAAGTTGTAAAGTAACCAAGTTCTTTACTGTACTTAAGTAGAATTTTGGGGCGTCTGCACTTTACTTGAGTAATTATTTTTCAGCCTACTTTTTACTTCTTACATTTTCACACAATTATCTGTACTTTCTTCTCCTTACATTTTTAAAAAAGACAAGAAGTAGACATTTGTTACTTTTATTTCATTTTTGTTTGTTTTCATTCCAGCTCATTATTGTAAAATATAAATACTATCCATAAACTGTGCCTCCTAGATAGAGTGAATTTAATTGTGGTTGAATGAGAAGTATAAATATATATAATTCTGATACCGTATTAGTTTGTACACAAACAAATCCTGTCGCACTCCAGCAGGACATAAACATTAAAATAAAAGGACTGTACTTAAGAAGTATTTGTATTTCTTGAATTAAATGATTGCATTTGGCCGCAGCCCTCAGATAGATTTTCATTTTGGAAAAAAAAATATTTGGGCAGCCTTGATACTGTATGTGTATATGAATTGAAACTGCTGGACTAGTGCATCCTAAATTTAACATCAATTAATTATTTTAATACAATATAGTCATTTCTGCATTTTTGGTGAGGTCACCTCCTAATATACGTCATTACAGAAAATATAACTTCTCATTTTAAATCAATACTTTTACTTTTAATACTTAAGTACAAAAAAAATCAGATACTTTTACTCAAGTAATATTCCTAAAGGAAACTTTAACTTTTACCAAAGTAATTTTTTGGTAAGATACTTGTACTTTTACTCAAGTATCACGTTGTGGTACTTTATACAACACTGTTTATAATATTATTTTACACTCTGTAGGTCTAAATATTAATCAGATGTTTATAATATTATTTTACACTGTGTAAATATTACATGAGTTAGAGGAAAAAACATCTTGTAATATTTAATCATTTGGGATAAATTGTAGCATTATTCAGCAGGATGCTACGCCCTGTAGCAATATATACTGCAGAAGCTAATATCTGCTTACCTATAATTGCTTATCTTAATTTTAAATTGTTACATTATTAACTTCAGTTCTGGTCAGATCACATCCAAACTGAGGTAAATAAGATCAAATCTGCTTACATGTGGAAATTACATACATTTACCTGTTTTTCCTCTGTTGATAAACCAGTAACACACAGTTTTATGGCAAACTTTAAATAGCATAAATACACTCTAATATATTACTAATATGTTTGTTAATATTATGAATAGTTTTTATTGTCTTTACATAATCAGTCCATATTGTTCGCTCTTTAGCCAACATGTACAGTATTACAAACCCTGCAGCTGCTACAGTAGACCAAAGTCATTTGACCAAGACTCACTGCTGCTGTTCTRCACCTCCTTGTACACACACCACACACACGCAAGGTGGAAGAAGGCAAATAAAAGTAAGCTTTCCTGCATTATATATTTTTTGCAATAGCCTCAGTTCCCTTGAGTTTCCTCCCCCGTACTCTGCTCTCCTTCACTAACATTACGTTGGCCTCCCTTCGTAAAGGGAGTGGGGGGCAGCTGTGGTGGAGTGGTTAGGGGAGTCGTCCTGGAACCGGAAGGTCGCTAGTTCGATCCCCCGTTCAGCCATCTCAGTCGTTGTGTCCTTGGGCAAAACACTTCACCCACCTTGCCTACTGAGTCCAGTGGCGCCGGTGCATGGCAGCCTCGCTTCTGTCAGTGTGCCCCAGGGCAGCTGTGGCTACAGTGTACTTTGCCATCATCAGTGTGTGAATGTGAGTGTGAATGGGTGAATTGTCTGTTAGTGTAAAGTGCTTCGGGGTCCGGAGGGACTTGAAAAGCGCT